TTCGTACACCGGAGGTTTCGGACGAGGTAACCGGACAAAATCCCCCTGAACAATAACTACCGAGACACAAACCCCTCAGTGCAATTCTTTACAGTTCTTCATTTCTTACTTACCCAAAACTATATAAAATTATTGTTTAAGATCAAAACGATAGATTGTGTGCTATCGTACGTAAATAGTCCATAACATTGCGTAACATAACTTTTCGTTTATTCGATGTATGTGTTGGAGCGAGTTTTGAAACAAGATTAAAAGTTGCTTGAAATGCTGGTCGACGAAAACGCGGAAATTCGATTTAGTTAGTTTGATCCATTTTCTAAAGCTACAAAAGATATTCTATTAAAAATATGCAATACAGCCTGATAGCCAGCCGTAGCCCGTTCTTCCCATCAACAATACGTTGAGGAGGAAAAAAAAGTTTACCTCATGCCTTCGGTCAGTCAAAACACGTGCTTTGTCGTACGACGCAAAAGGGATGTTATGGTCAGTGTTCCCCCAACCGGGAGTCTTTTCTGGAGGTTCGGTTAGCAGCTGTAGCGTATAACAAAGAACAGGAAAAGTTTCTAACCTCCCTAGTCGAAATGGACTACGCAACATGACGCGTGTCTCGCGGTGATCTTCACGACGTGAAGATTGGTGAAATAACCGACGTGATCACGGGAATGACCAGACATTAAGGGTCTCCTCGTCACGGGAACAAACTTGAGCGTTCTCACTGGACAACCATGTGGGAGGGCGTCGTCAAAGATGACAACGACGGACGGACCGACCGTTGGTCATCGATGCAAACCTAGGTACCTGACTGCACTTCTAATCGATCTGAAGCATGCGTACGGCGTCGTGCCGCAAGGCGGGGCGAGTGCCAAATTCATCTCTTGGCACTCGACGAAACAAGCATCAACGTGAGGCCATAAGTGAATGCCAAGAAGACGAAGAACAGGAAAGCACTTGCAGTCACCGCTACTGAGATCGGGAACTGAGCCGAGGTGTTGGACTTGTGTCGGTGGGTGAATTGCGGAAAGGCGTACGGTGAAACGGTATGGCGAAGGAAAGAGGCCACAGTCTTGAAAGCTACCGTATTTCATGTGCTGTCGTACGATCTAGGGGAGGGGAAAGCTGCGCATGAAGACCGTCACGTACGACGCATGTATGAATATGTGTGCATGAACTTACGACGTACGTCCAAAATGTGACGGTACCATCGAGGCACGAAGAAGGAAACGTGGCAACAACTCATCGAAACACACGTGCCATGGTTTCATGGTTTGATCAAACGCTCAGAGAACGCAAACGAAATGCGTTCAACGTTTTCCGGCGTAGCAAGAGTCCACT